TTTCACTTAGCCTCATGCTGGCTAAAAGGCTTATTCATTGAAAATATATTTCAAAAATAGAGGGAGTTAGAGAGTGGTCTTGCTTTTATTAATTATAAAGGATGTTAGCCCTGCCCCAGTGTTCACATGGGAATTGGCCTCTAACTACAACAAATTTAAACCTCAACCTCCCCATCCTGCTTGAAATTCTACCTGATGGGCAGGTTCAGACCACCATCTCAGAGTGACCACAGCATGGGCTAGAGCACAGCCCAGGAAGGGGTGAGAATTATTTATAAGTGAGCAAACAGTGTGTTGTTCAGTATCTCAATAAAAGTCTCCACCAAGTGGGTATTTCTGAATGGTGAAGCCATTTTTTAAAGTTCACATCACTAAAAGGTGACAAAGCAACTAAATTCTAAATCAAGTCAAACTTCAAAATCCTTTCCACTATACCACTCAGGATGCCATGGGTTCAAAAACTCTTGCTTGGTCGGGTGATTAGGTTGGGCTATTCGTAGGTTCTGAGGGGTATTAAATTTGTCCCTGTTACATTCACTTTTTATTCTCATCTCAGATATTTTCATTTTCTTTTGTCTTTCTTTCATCTCAGATTAGGTGAGCATCCTGAAGAGATTCCATATGCCAGATCCAGATGCCCTACTGTAGACACCTGAGAAACTGTCTCAATTACTGACTCATAATCATCCAAAAATGCTAGAGAATCCAGAACAAACACAGCTTTGAAGATTTTAGTGGTGATTTCCTGTAGGACCTTCAGCAAATCCCATAACCTCTTTAAACTACAATTTCTCATCCTTAAAATAATGTGCTTGAGTCAGATTACTAAATTTCCAGAAAACAATGATAGTGATACAGCACATTTATTTACTTGATGTCTCATATTATAATAAACTATTACTTAGTATATAGTGCTTTAAAATAATAGGTGCTTAATATATAGATGTTTTATTACTTAATATATAGGTGCTTTAAAAGGTAATAGATAAAGTGTGATTTTAGTTACAATTTTATGCATGTCTTTATAATTTTAATTTCTTTATCAAGTACAGGGGTGGCTTTTCTATATAAGACTGAGTGGAATAATTTGTAGGTAAAGGGAAGAACAGCTAAAACAAAGTTTCTTCCATTTTCATTTAATGGCTAGGACGATATGCCTGAGCAAAGACATCTATCCTGTCATTAAATACTTAGCAATGAATTGCTTTTTGTTATAGCTAATCTTATAAGAGTTACTGAGGTCTTCACTAATTCAGCTGTTGTGTCTCACAATATTTGAAAACAATACATAGAATGGCACCAGTGAAAGACCAAGAGATAAAGGATGAGGAAGAAATGAAGTTACAAAAGTTAGTTTGACAGTATTTTCTCTTCTCACAGATTTTTCCAGGAGACTCGTTTAAATAGGTCTAAACAAATGCTGTTGCCTCTGATGATTTATTGCAGAACAAGCTGACAGAGCATAGGAGCATGTTATCTGGTCCCCTGTCGTGCAGGGGCTAATTCAGAAAATAAAGAAAGACCAGAAGTGCAGTAATTGGAGCAAATGCTCTATATCATTCAGCAAGTAAGCAGATGGAAGTTTGGAATCACAGCTTATTTAAAAGGATG